AGTCTTCCCTTGTCGACCACGTCGCGTCCAGACTGCCCCGCTGTGCCGCCAAACAGCTGATCAGCACAGCGCGGCGGCCATTTTGATGTGAATGAAGCGGCGATTATTTAAATCCCCGCTTCATTTTCCTATGTCTACAGCCCTAAACTACATGGCTCCGTCATGTAGTTTAGACGTATCTTTAGAGCTCTCACCTGACACTGGAAAGTTCCATGGCGAGATAATGAGTGAGGCTTCGTGTTACTCCGAAACCACGTCTCTCACATTCAGATCGTGAGGGCCGGTCTGTCGGCCTAAGCCCTTTGGACATGATTAACATGGTTTGTCTTGACTTACAGGCATGCGCATGCTGGATTCCCCACTTCTGTATTGTACCACTGGTGCATTTGCTAACGGTAATAATACGGCCAGGGGATGTGATGCATATGCAATGTAAGGCTACATCTAGACTCCACGCCTTTTTCGACAGAGGCTTTTTCGAAAGTATCTTTCGAAAACGCCTCTGTTGAAAAAGAGCGTCTAGACCAATGGTTCTCAACCGTGGGCCATACGGCTCCCCAGGGTCCACGCTCTACTTCTAGGGGGCCATATGGAAAAGATGGAACATTAGGTAAATTTTGTACCCTTTTTTCCAACTCCCAGTGGCTATGAGGGGGGCCACAGAGGTAAACGAGGCTCAGAAGGGGGCCAGGAGCAAAAAAAATTGAGAAACACTGGTCCAGACTACAACCAGCTCTGTCGAAAAAGCCAGCTGCTTTTTTAATGAGCGTCTAGACGCTCTCTTTCGAAAAAACAGAGTTTGCATGCAATAGCACCTTTTTTCAAAAGAGTACTATCGAAAAAAGGCTGTATTCCTCGTAAAACGAGGTTTACTGTGGGCGACAAAACTGCCGCGGTCTGTCGACTTACTGTCCACAGAACATGGCGGTAGTATAGACGCAGATATGGTTTTTTTCGAAAAAAGACCACTTTTTTCGAAAAAACCCTATAGTCTAGACACACCCTAAGAGAGGTGGGATGGTCTCCTCTGATTTTCCAAAAGACTCATTTTTAAACGTGTAGATTTCTACGGACATACCCTGCTCACCCCCTCTCCTCCGCCTCAGCTCCTCTGGTGAGCCCAGGCACTACATCGAAATTCTAACTTCTAATAAGATTATTCACTGCTTACGTTCTTTTTATAATAGCAAAAAGAATCGACTGCTCTGGTTTTAGGAAAGATCTGTGTAGCCACCGCTCATGTGGCATTCAGCTCCCATCTAACGCAAAACGGAAAGAAAAGCTGAGCTGTGGTGCTGCCGATGAGCCACCGTACTTCACAGGAAAGTTTTCACCCCCCCCCCTTTGATCCCAGAAATGTACCTTTGTGGAACGGCAGTCTAGACGACAGTGTATCTACAAGAGGGAATGAGTGAAAAAGATTCATTGTTGAGTTGATGAACAGTCTTGTTGTTAAATGTTCTAGCACCAAAGTGAAATGAAAAGAAAAACTTTATTAAGTTACTAGCACATTTCCCTGGCACTGCTCAGCTCCTTAAGGACAGGCTCCAACCAGTGGGCTGTGGGTAGGTGTGTGCGTGTCTGTGTGTGAACAGGGAGGCCACCGAGTCTCCTACTAGGGGCTGCTCACTCTTCCCCTTCCTGTCCCCGTCAGGAAGCGAGAGCAAAGTCTGCCTCCTGCGCTCATCTAGCGCCCATCTATAAAAAGGGAAATAAGAACAGCCCAGGAAACTACAGACCAGTTAGTTTAACTTCTGGACCAGGGAAGATAATGGAGCAATGGGGGGGGGGCAGCTTCAACCTCCTGCCCTCCCTAAAGGGCGCCTGTGGGGGGTGGGAGGCTCAGAGCTGGGGCAGCCCCAGATGTGGGGCTCACTCCCAGCTAACCCCTTCACCTGTCTAATGATGGTCTCTTTCCTGTATGGTTTTCTGAGACGCAGTCCCATTTCAGCCAACCAAACCCTGATCTTGCTTTAAGTCCTGGTAAGAGGGAGACTGGAAAAGGGCAAATCTAGCGCCCATCTATAAAAAGGGAAATAAGAACAGCCCAGGAAACTACAGACCAGTTAGTTTAACTTCTGGACCAGGGAAGATAATGGAGCAAAAAAGTCTGTGTATTGTGATGGCGCGTGGGGTGGGGGGGAGTTTTTGGTAACCAGTGCCTATAGAGGCAAAGGTTTCTCTTTTTTTCTTTTAAGCTCTTTGCAGCTCCCCATCTTTTGCACTCTGCCAGAGTGGGGTCCAACTCTGACATAAGGTTAATGGTCAGACCCGCTAAGAAAGGAAAACCTTTAGGGGGTCAATGTAGCACTTTAAAGACTAACAAGATGGTTTATTAGATGATGAGCTTTCGTGGGCCAGACCCACTTCCTCAGATCAGGTTTTTTGATGTGAGGAAGTGGGTCTGGCCTACGAAAGCTCATCATCTAATAAACCATCTTGTTAGTCTTTAAAGTGCTACATTGTCCTGCATTTTGCTTCAACTACCCCAGACTAACACGGCTACATTTCTATCACTATTTCAGGGGGTCAGAATTCAGTTCCCCAAACCAGTGTGTATGTGTTATATTGAGAGCCGAGAAGGGAATTCATAGGTTACAAATGATTTGTTGACTATTCTCCGTTCACAATTATGTTCCTCGCCTCTATCAATTCTCAGTATAATATATGTGAGAAAATGCCCAAAGTGACCATTTATTACCTTTGAGTGTCTTCATGATGTCTTCCAGGAATTCAGTTTCTTGAGACGATTCCCATTTCAGATCAAAAGAAAACGCCGGGTTGTGAAACTTTTCTCTCTCACACCTGAAGAAGAACAACCCAGTGTGACTTGCGATGGAGTTCATTCGGATTTGTGTATCACGACAGGGAATGTTATCACAGTGAATGGCTGTAATTCTGCAGACCTTGGAGGATTAAATGCGCCGTTGGCCCATGAATAGGTTTACTACCAGCTGGGACACTACCGGCTTCCCCTTCATTTTGGTGAGACCAATACTGGAAAACTGCATCGAGTTCTGGTACTCAGATTTTAAAATGGACATTGAAAACTTGGAGATGGTGCAGAGAAGAGCCATGAAACTGACAGAGGGTTGGTTAAAAAAATGCTTTACACTGAGGCTACGTCTACACTGGCATGATTTTCCGGAAATGCTTAAAACGGAACAGTTTTCCGTTATAAGTATTTCTGGAAAAAGCGCGTCTACATTGGCAGGATGCTTTTCCGGAAAAGCCCTTTTTCCGGAAAAGCGTCTGT